TTGTTCATGTATTTATGTCCTCATGTAGTGAGATGACAGAAGCTGCAATCAGCGCGAGCGTCACACACTCTGTATGTGTAGAAAACAACACCGCGCGTCTGTGTCATTTACATACACCGAGACACGCAGAACATGCTGGATCCATATTTAAACAGTATTTTTGCGGCTGAATATTTACAGATACTAATCCATATTGCGACTCTATTTAAGTGTACTGACCTACTTTTGATTCATTCATCCAAACTTTGACAAATTCCGTGACATTCCGCGTCATACAGTAAATTCCATTTATATGACTGTATTGCGTCCACGTTTTCCGCATCACGGAAATCATAGATAATATTGAGGTGTTTTGCAACTTCAGTGTAACGTTAGTGGATTGGGATCTATTTCAACTTAAGCAACGTCTGCTGCTGCCTTACCTTTAAAGACAACTGATGCGTGATCACTGAAGCAGCTCCAGTTAGCAAGCGCTTTCGGAGTGAGAGTGAATTCCGCTTTGATTGGTCGGACTCGTGACTCCCAACAAATCAGATGAGCGGTGGGCGGAGACTGCTTTAGGCCACAAAGTGGTGAGTTCTGACAGGCTGCATCAGAGCCAAATAGCGCATTTCAAAATTAAGTCATTTTATCGGCAAATCGGTTTTGAAAATTACCGATACCGATAATCATAAAAATGCTTAATATCGGCGCCGATAATCGGTCGACCCCTACTCGTGATACTGTAATACACCGATCTATCTGCACAGTCGGTCCCGCATCAAGTCAAACACACCTACTAGTTTACACCGGTTACACTCCGAGATGTGGCGCACACGTGAGGCTGTAGTGTGAATGCGTCCCAGTCCCCATAGATGTAAGGCTACATTTACACTGGTGCGTTTGTTTTAAAATGAAAACGATCCTCGTCATACTGGCGTTCCCACTGCGTTTCAAGCCGGCTTTCTACTATCTCCGACAAACGTCAAGTGACAGACCGGTCATTCAGTCATTCATTTCCAATGGAGAGTAGCGCGGGAGCTGCGTGGAGTTCCGATCATATGCAGATGTCCGTTCATACTAACATTATACGACCGAAAGCGCGTGTTATGTGAACATTCATGCAAACTGTAGCATCATGCTACATAAGACAATAAATACGATTTAGATTTAACTTTTACTCAAAACTCACTTTAAACCACCATCGAGTGTTTGTAATAACTTCCGATTGCCGTCTAATGTGTGTTTTGGCCATGTAATGTTGCTGAAATTAAATATGTTATTACCTGAGAGTCAGAGCAGCGGTTATGGAAGAGAGAACACAAGCAGACAGCACTGGAAGCTGCTAATGCTCATCAGTAAATCAGTGGAAAATAAATAGAGATCATGATTCTGTCTGAGCTATGCATTTTAAATCAAACACGCACTAGTGTAAATGTAGCCTAACAGATGTGTAAACTGAAGACTATTTGAGCTTTATTAAAACTATTTGCACTGATTTATTGTGTTGGTTACATTTTGTTCCTTTGTGCAGTGGCTCAGGAGATGAGGTTTTGAGTTTGTGTAAACATCAACAAGCTGAAAAATAAAACCAAAGTTTTTTTTTTTTTTAGATAATGTAATCTTGTTAAAATTGATTTCATAAAATTGGTATCGAAAAAAGTACCAGTATCAAAGTCAAGGTATCGATATCGAAAATTTTTGAATGATACCCAGCCCTAGTGATATTGCTTAACTATATGATGTAACTGTATGATGCAAGTGCGTTAAATGCGTTAATAATTTTAACGCGTTATTTTTCACCATAATTAATCTAATTAACTCGTTAAATTACCAGCCCTTATTGAAAGGATATTGTTAATGTTGCCATGAATATAGCCATTGTTGCTGATATGGCATTAACCAAATCTAAATAAATAAATACTACATCTGTTACCACCAATAATCTGATAAATAACATGTAATTGCTGCTTAATTGTAAAATGGATTGTTTTGAGGCAATCCTGTGCTGGGATATTTTAAAAAAATAAAAATAAACTGGTAAACCCATCTTTTTTTTTTTTTAGATAATGTAATCTTGTTAAAATTGATTTCATAAAATTGGTATCGAAAAAAGTACCAGTATCAAAGTCAAGGTATCGATATCGAAAATTTTTGAATGATACCCAGCCCTAGTGATATTGCTTAACTATATGATGTAACTGTATGATGCAAGTGCGTTAAATGCGTTAATAATTTTAACGCGTTATTTTTCACCATAATTAATCTAATTAACTCGTTAAATTACCAGCCCTTATTGAAAGGATATTGTTAATGTTGCCATGAATATAGCCATTGTTGCTGATGTGGCATTAACCAAATCTAAATAAATAAATACTACATCTGTTACCACCAATAATCTGATAAATAACATGTAATTGCTGCTTAATTGTAAAATGGATTGTTTTGAGGCAATCCTGTGCTGGGATATTTTAAAAAAATAAAAATAAACTGGTAAACCCATTCACAGGTCCAGAGATCTGGCTGGAATACGTACAGTACTCCATCGGGGGAATGGGAGCCCAGGGAGGCATTGAGCGGGTGCGCTCCATCTTTGAGAGGGCGCTGACTGCAGTGGGTTTACACATGACTAAAGGAGCTACAATCTGGGAGGCCTACAGGGAGTTCGAGATTGTTATTCTCTCCACAGTACAGGTATTTACTCTGGGTTCCTACTCAGATTTATTACAGGATATCAGCATGGCATTAAATTGCTATAAAAATAGCCAAACTGAAATACTTGTTATTAAATATCCCATGAATATTAATGAGAATTACGACTTTGGATGTTAAAGGGGTCATATGATGCGATTTCAATTTTTCCTTTCTCTTCGGAGTGTTACAAGCTCTTGGTGCATAAAGAAGATCTGTAAAGTTGCAAAGACTCAAATCCAAAGAGATATTCTTTATAAAAGTTAAGTCAACCACGCCTACCTAAA